GTTGCCCATCCCGGCAGGCGGAGGGAGCCGCGCGCGCACCTGGAGGCGCTGCCCGGTTGGCTGCGGTGCGCGCGCGCGCCCCCCCCCCTCCCTCCCCCGCCTCCCGCTGCGATCTCGGTTGCCAAGATAAGGAAGGGGGTGGGGGCGGCTGGGGGAGAAAGAGGCTTTGAAATAAAACTTTGCCAGCAGGTGCGACGGATTCTGCTCGCTCGGCTTGCGCGAAAAAGGGAAGCGCCTGGTCGCACCGCCCCCTCCTCCCGGGCGAAGTCTCGGTTTGGGGGCCCCCGTGTTCGTCTCGCTTCTTACTGCCGCCGCCGCCGCCGTTCGTAGCCCCGCGAGGAGCGCTCTTACCCTCCTCTCCCTTTCAGGATGGTCGACCTGGAGAACGAGGTCCCTCCGCTTCCTCCCAGGTACCGGTTCCGGGATTTGCTCCTGGGAGACCAGGGATGGCAGAACGACGAGAGGTGAGCAGGCGACGGGGAGCGTTTGTGCAGAGGGAGGCGGGGGAGGGGGCGGAGGAGGCGGGGGGAGGGATGGTGCCTGGAATCTGAGGTGTTCCTAGAAAGAGGGGAAATCGTGGCTTCGATTTCTTCTACCTTGCAATGGCTTCGGAGAGAGAATATAACTCTGGAGCGCCTGGATAAATGCATCTCGGCACCGGAGGTTTTGCACATGTCTCGCATAATGTCCGTACAGTTTATGCCTAAGGATGAATTTTGATCATTTATTTCCTAAGCTTTATGGGTCCCCTTATTCTTCAGCCCTTTGTACACAAAGCACATGCTACTTCTTCTACATCTTTCTATCTGTTGCCAATTCATATATTTGCTGTGGGTATCCATGTGCATATAAGGATATTGCATGAATACACTTGAAGAAGTATGGTTTTGCCTATGGCGCATGTATGCATGTATGGAATTGTTAGACTGGTTTCTGTGAAGGGTTAGCTCTCTTCTTCTTCTTCTCCTTCTCTTGATTTTTTTTTATTTATCCAATGGCCAGGTCCTCTTGCACCTCCTCACTTTCCCCTTGGGTCTTTCCTACTTCTCCACATTCTGTAATGTCTGAAGCCAGACTGATGTTCACCGGTCCTTTAATTCTTGGCAAAGACATCAATATCAGTAAACTTTCCCGTTTGAAGGAATAATCTGCTAATAAGGATTCTCCCCCTATCTCTGTAGGCTTTCTGAAATGCATGGCCACATGCTGCTTTGGCACCACCTGTCCTTTCTCCGAAAAAAATAATGAGTATTTATATATAAGTGAGGCATTTCTAAAAACCAAACCAAGAGTCAGTTTTAGAAGCGTCTCTTAAACGCATTTGCATCCTTTCCTCATCCTCTGCCAGTCTTCCAACCAGAGGCTTGAAATAAGTATGGGAAAATCACGTCTGCTTAGCTTTTTCATTGCTGAAGCATCAGGTCTTCCCTGAACAAAACACTTGGACCATTGGACTACAGTTGCCCGTTGGAGCTAAATAATGTCCACCAAATACTTTATTCCATTTTGCTTTTTTGTATTAATTAGATAGGCTAAAATTCTGTGCTTATGGCTGAATCTCTCTTACTGGTGAAAGCGGGAGCTACAATGTATGTGCAGTTTAATGTATTTTCCTTGAAATAAAAATGATTCCTTTTTGATTCCAGTGGAAAAGGTAAAGAACCGTCTTACATTTTCTCATTGTGCTGCTAGATTTAAACATATACAACCTTTTACCCTGCCTTCTATATTAATAATTTATATTATTTAGAATGTATTTTAACACAGGCCTACATTACCATATCATATAAAATATCCATGCCCATGTTTATTAGATATAATGCTTATTGCATTAAGTGTAAGCGTGTAAAGAATTGGATCTCATAGAGAATTGATATTGTAGCCATATGATACCATCCATAGAATATCAATATAGTAGTGACAGGTAGATAATATTGAGAGGTGGATCTTTTGGCCTTCCTTAGTACTTGACTTGAGGAGAATCACAATTAGGTCAGACCTTTTCCCCCGATTGCGTTGATTATTGCACATTACTAGATAATATATTTGCTAGGGCATTCAAAACAAATTACAAAGCTGAATGGATGATTCTGTGACATCTCAAGATTATCTCATGTTTGAGCAACACAAAGAACCCCTACAACATGATCCTTCCTGTTATATTCCTCATAATATCTCTATAAACATCACCATTGCCTCTCCTCTGTGTGCTGGAGGACACACAGTGCCTCATGTCAATGATCAGGTATCTAAATTAATATATTTACTGTGTTGACTTCCTCCACCCCTTTAGTAAGTGTGGCTAGTTCCAGTTTACTTCCTTGCTTTGAAATTGGATGTGGCCTCTGAGCAATTTTATACATCTAAGCTTTGAGCAGCGAATAATTTATTTTCTACAAAATTCTGATAACCATTTTTAAAAAAATATTTAAATGTAGAAAAAATGTGAAATATAAAAACCTAACTTTAAAAACTGTTAGAAACCAAAAAAAAAATGAAAAGGAGAAAAAAATCCAATGAGCTAAAAATAATAATTACCATTAATTGATTGCTAGTGACTGGATAACTAATACATACCATATGGTACCATAGTATAATCAAATGCAAAATATTATTGCAAAATATACAGTATCTGCTAAAATAGTACAGGTTGCTTCATCCTTTGATTAGTAAAGAATATTGCTTTTTCCAAAACACATAAGTTACGTGTTTCAAAAAACATTATTTCTGTAATATTGTTTTTCTGATTTCTTGACGTGATTCCTTTAATGGCCTCTATGCACAATACAACTATCTGTAATCAGATTGCAAATCTTAGTATATTTATTTTATTTTTATTAAATTTATGTATTTGCCTATCTCCCCAATAGTGTGATTCTGGGTGGCTAATGTAATTCAAAATCACATTAACCTCTAACATTTAAAGATTTTCCCATGAATATAAATACCATATTTTAAAAAGTACCAACTGGTTACATGACCATAACAGATAGGTCTATGAACCCTCAATTTTTTTTATGTCTCCAGTTAAGATAATCTGACGGTCATTCTTTCAAGAATTCTGGTACATTTAGTATAGTTCATACTAAATCCAGGTAAATTTTTGATTCTCCTTGTGTTACTCATTGAGTTCATACATTACATGGTGGTTTATTAGTAAGATGGTTAAGCATGGCTAAGGTTAGCTTTGTGAAACAGAGGGCTATATCAGACATTGAGTTTTCTGATGAAGAGGAGTAGATGAGATATATATATAACTACAGAAGGTTCATCATTTCCTTTTGTATATTGAAATAGGAGTCGAGGTGATAAAAGGCAAATTTCTATTAAATGGAAAAACGCTAAGGGAGACCACTTAGTGTTTTTTTGCCCCCTTTCAATTTTGATGTTTTATGGTGACCAAGCCACTTGAATTACAAAAAAGGCACAAATGATTCTGGCTGAATCATTAAAAGTGAATATGGGAAATGAGAATAGTATAAAAACAACATTAATTTAAGGAGTATTTATTGATCATCCTGTTTAAATTGAGATATATAACTGTTAGAGACACATTATCATGCACCCTGATAGACTTATTAGGTGCTTTCAATTAGTACCGCACATCCTTTACAAAAATCCAAGTTATATATTATGTAAAGGAGACGTGTACAGTTTGGTCAAGTTTTCCATTATTCATATGAAACTTAATTAAACATAATTTTGAACTAACTTACATTCATTTGGAAAGTCTTGTGATGATTGTACTTCTCTGAGAATCTTATTTCAGACAAAATGCAACTTAAGTTATTGTTTTTCTAATAAGTGCTTATGAACAATCAGGTGAGAAAAATCTGATCTCAGTAAATGTCCCTAAGAATATGTTTTATATGCTTAGTTATAACGAGGTTTGGTTTGGCTTGGCTTGGCATGATATGTAAAACTATTTATTGGGGATTAGTGATACGTGATTCCCAGATCACGACTTCCACACACTACGGTTAAAACTTCACAAGGAAGATGGGCCTCCTCAGGAGCTGCTTCTTGAAGGATGGAGGTTACCTTCTGTACCCATCAAAATACATTTTGCATTGTTAGGCATTAAAAGAACCTACTGTAGAAAACCTTCAAGAATCCCACCTTGTTTTCTCTATTACACAATTGGGAACCAATGAATTTTGTCACTCATCACTGTATTCCTTACCATCTTTAGGAAAACATCTTGGAACAGAAAAAAATGTTAGAGATAAGTGTTTTGAAAGGGATAGCAATAAAGATGCCGCTGCAGTTCAATAATCCAAAGTTTATCTTGGTACCATCACTATAAACAATATAGAAACTTCACCCGGTTAATATTAGTAGTTCTTTATTGAAAAGGGCTTTCACATCCCTTGGTCTGTTGCCAATGCACATCTTAAAAGAAAATGTTATAAATGCCCTCTCCTTCCCCGTTATTAATTATTTAATTTATAATTATGTCTTCCATTGCTCCATTTATAATCGGATTATGGTCAAATAATTGATGGCAGGCGAACTCAAGAGCTTGAATTACCTTCTTGCAGACAATGCTTCCAACTATGAAGTCACTAGGTTGTGACTTTCATTTTACTGTTATTTGGAAAGAAATGCTTACATTTGTAGTTGCAGTACTGGGTATGTCTTGTTTTGACCTTCTATATAATACTCTTTTTATTATTTTATTTTATAATCTTACTATTCTACTGTTATTTTATAGTATGTTAATTGTTATGATCTGTGGTTAGAACAATAAAATTGTGAATCCATCTAGTTGGACATCCAGGTGCCAGCAGCTTTCTATGTTATTATTTCACTAAATTAGGTGTGTGATTTGTTTTAGCTGAAAATGCCAGGTTTTTATGTACTTCCCAAAATGCATTTGCAAATCTCTTGGTTCTGTAACATGCTGAGACTCTCAAAAATTTAAAATTATTTCTACACATGTTTTGGGCTTTTACTTTGACTAATAAAAGTCCAACAAAATGAGATTTGGGAATTCTGTTCTGTCTTGGCTTTAATATTTCTGATCACCACATAGAAATTTGGAGAGATGAAAGGACTCTTTCATAAAGTATAGAACCTGATACTCCACCTTAGCAATTAACAACATGGCTGCTAAACAGCCTGCCCTAAATGAAAGTTTGTGTGGAAGTTTATGTATTCACTCCTGGCTTTTGAAGAAGAACTCTTGTGTTCTTGGTTGTCAAAAACTGAGAACAGAATTAGAGAAGCATGGAAAATGTAACATGTTTTCTTAGTTAAAGAACATGCAATTATTGAATTGTAGAGGCTCAGAAGCATTTACCAAAAAGAGCACCAGCAGGTCTATTGCCTCCTCGAATTATTGGTATTGTATTTATGGAAATGTTTATCATCTTGCTTGAAATATCTAGGAGGGTTTATAATGTAACAATATGGTGCTACAATCAAAAACTAAAGAGTGGTGGAAATTGTATAAAGCTGAAAG